GATCCCTTTAAAATGTTTAAGAGACTAGTAGGAGGAAATCTTTGCTAGTTTGCCAAGTCTTGTGCCATCTTCTTAAGATACTGTAGTCTGTCTCTCAGGGCGCACATCTGGTAATGAACTATCTGGCATATATGTTGTGGTCAGAAATATGTGCTGATATTTGGTACACAGGTAGGCCTTGTCTACACCATGAGATAAGGTCGAATTTATTAAGGTCACTTTTTTAGCATCTGATTTTATAAAGCCAAAGGTGCATGTCCCCATTGTGCACAAGTGTTTGATGTAGTGCATCCCCAGTCGGGTGGCTACTATTAACTTTTGACAGTGATGCACTCTGGGTTGCTATTCCACAGTTCCCACTGCCCCCTTTGCATTCCGGGTTAGGCTCCTAGTGCCCGATAGGACCAAAGCAATCTTTTTGTGCCCTTTTTTCTCTGGTTATCTGTGCCCACACCATAGCATGTCAAGCATGGACCTCGTTCAGCAGCAAAGTGCTATGGTAATCATATCAAAATATCTTGTGCTTTATGCTGCAGCATGTCCAGAGCCTATCCAGTGCCTGTCAAAGCGAGGGAGAATATAAGGAAGCCATGAACAGACTTTTCTGTGAAGCACCTGAGATGTGCAATTAGCAAATGCTTGTGGCATTTGAAGAATGCCGATTCTGGTGCCGTGAGACAAGCGCAGACTGGTGGGACCACATAGTTATGCAGCTATGGGACTATCAGCAATAGCTGCAAAACTTTCGCATGCATAAGGCCACTTTCATGGAAGTTTACAAATTGCTTTCCCCTGCCATGAAGCACAGAATGAGACTTGCTCTGATAGTTGAGAAGTAAGTGGCAATAGCCTTCTGGAAGCTTACAAAGCTAGATAGCTATCGGTCAGTTGGGAATCAATTTGAACTGGGTAAATCTACAGTGGGGGCAGCTATCATCCATGTAGCCAAGGCAATCAGTACCCTTCTGCTATAAAGAATAGTGACTCTGGGAAACATGCAGGACATAGTGGAGGGCTTTGCTGCAATCAGGTTCTGTAATTATGGTGGGGCGATGGAGCGCACATCCCTACCTTGGCACCTGACCACCTTGCTAAAGAGTACATAAAACCTCAAGGAGTATTACTTGATGGTGATGCAGGTGCTGATGGATCACAAGGGCTCTTTCACCAACATTAACATGGCATGGTTGGAAAAGGTGCATGACTCACACATCTTTAGGAATTCCAGTCTTTTCAGAAAGCTGCAGGATGGAACTTTCTTCCCAGGATGGAAAATTACTATTGGAGGTGTTAAGATGCTAATAGTGAACCTTGGGAGACCCAGCATACTCCTTGCTTCTTGGCTCATGAAGCTGTACACAGGCATCCTGGACTAGAGTAAGGAGCAGTTCAACCACAGGCCGAGCAAGTGTGAAATGGTAGTAGAATGTGCTTTTGGATGTTTAAAGAGAAGGTTTCACAGTTTGTTGACTAGGTTAGATGTCAGTGAAAGCAACATTTCCAGTGTTGTGGCAGCCTGCTGTGTTCAGCAATCATACAGGTGTAAGAATGATAGCCTTTTGTTCCTGGAAACATACCTGGGGATTGCGTGAGGCACCACATGACTCCTTCCCCTCATCCCTCCCACATTCTGTGCATCTGATGGCTCTCCTGTGAGTCTAACAGGCATGTCATCCATTCTTCCATTATCCTCAAGATGTTCTCCGGTGTCTTCACTTTGCATTCCCTGCATGCTCTCCTGTCCTCATGCTCCGCTCCCATCTCCTGCAGCAGTGTTCTCCTCTATTCATTTAATGTGCCCTGTTCAACCGGGTAGATTGCATTTGCTCATTGGGCATGTCATCCCAATTATATTTTCATCTTCGGATCTGTGATAGTCAAACAGCTGGACGAGCCAGGAGAGTGGGCAACAGGCTTGCTGTTGCACCCGCTGTAATGAAAAAAGTGAAGGGCAGATTCTACAAGAGATACATTGTGGAACATAGAACCTAATCTCTTAAGATAAAAGAATATTTGTCTAAGACACTAGGCATGTATTATGTACAAGGCCAAAGTTATGCTTTTTAGTACCCACTATGCTGATTCAAGGAGCGGATAGAGAAGGTATTTGAGCCTTTAGCTATCATCTTTGAAAAATCATGGAAGACAGGAATGATTCCAGAAGACTGAAAAAGGGCAAATATAGTGCCCATCTATAAAAAGGGAAATAAGAACAACCTAGGAAACTACAGACCAGTCGGTTTAACTTCTGTGCCAGGAAAGATAATGGAGCAAGTAATTAAGGAATTAATCTGTAAACACCTGGAAGATAATAAGGCGATAGGTAATAGCCAGCATGGATTTGTAAAGAACAAATCATGTCAAACCAATCTGATAGCTTTCTTTGATAGGATAACAAGTCATGTGGAAAAGGGAGAAGCGGTAGATGTGGTCTACCTAGACTTTAATAAGGTCTTGCATGATATTCTTATCAATAAACTAGGCAAATACAACTTAGATGGGGCTACTATAAGGTGGGTGCATAACTGGCTGGATAACCGTTCTCAGAGAGTAGTTATTAACGGTTCACAATCCTGCTGGAAAGGCATAACAAGTGGGGCTCCGCAGGGGTCTGTTTTGGGACCGGTTCTGTTCAATATCTTCATCAACGATTTAGATATTGGCATAGAGTATGCTTACTAAGTCTGCAGGTGATATGAAGCTGGGAGGGGTTGCAACTGCTTTGGAGAATAGCAATGTTCTCCAAAATTAAAAATGATCTGGACAGACTGGAGAAATGGTCTGAGAGGATTGACAATGTGAAGAGATGTATATTTATCAGAAGTGCTCTCCCCGCCATGGGGGCCCAGCAACGATACATTCTTGGAGGAGGGCTTTGTCTCCAAAGTTATAAAAAGGTCTTGGTTATTGGTGATGTCGGATGCTTCTCTCTCCTCCTGACAATGCTTCTCCTCTTTTTCCTTGGCCATACTATCCTCCATGCTGTTGTCAGAGGCTGCTGCAGAAGTGTTTTGGGAGGAATTCAGAGACTGAGTTGGGCAATTGGTCAGGTACTCCCAGTGGCATATTTATTGCACTGACCAAGACTTTCCAGTTGCCTCCCTTGTCTTTTGGTATGTCTGCCTGAACTCCTTTATTTTCACGTGACACTGCTGGGCATCCCTGTCTTATCCTTTATTTTGTGCAATCTTGGCAAAGGTATATCAACATTTCATTTGCTGCTTCATAGTTCTACCTGAACAGATTTCTGTCCTCCCACAGCAATCAGGTCTAAGATCTCCTGCATGCTCCATGCTGGAGCTTGTTTTCATCTTGGGACGTTCTTGGTCAAGTGTGCTACTGAGGTTTGCTGCCTGCCTGATCTGAGGTCTGTCCGTCACGCTGGCCAAATAGGATATGAAATTCAAATTTGTGGCAATGTGGGACACCTCCCGGAGGCCAAGAACTTCAACTTTCGCAGTGCTGCATCTGCAGTACCCTAAAGTCAACCATGCAAGGTTGAAATTACAGTTAATTCTCATGAAAAGCAGAAGTACTAAAGTTGACTTTAACAATCCTTAAAGTCGGTGGAATGGACTTGGTAGTGCTGACTCTTAGTTTAGAAAATTGACCTAATGTAGCTAAGTTCGACCTAAACCCCTAGTATAGACCAGGCCTTACAAGTAAATCTGTGTTTCTCTGCATGCAATTCTAACTCACCCAGCTGAATTCAGCCCTGGCAAACGAAATTCCAATGGAGGATGATGCACCAGGCCATGATGCACCAGGCCATGTCTCTGGCCATCTTCTTCATTCTGAGTAGATTTTTAGCTTTAAATTGTTTATTTTGGCATTATCTGTGACTAAATTAGGCATTTGACTGTTTTTTTTCTTCAAAATACTGTAGACTGGAATCTGTGACAATAGATTTGAGATAAGAGAATTCAGAAATATTTTTAGCTATGCATTAATGAAATATAAAGTCAGCTATATTTATTAGTAATATACTATAAGATATTTGATGTGCCGCATACATCAATATACTTTATTGAATTAAAGTTTAAACTCCTGGAGTTTGGAGTACAACTTTTACTCTCCTTTGGTTCTATCCATATAAAGGAAGCTTGTGGCCCATCACAATGCTAATAGCTTTTGGTAGCTCCTGTTGAAGAAATTCAGCTGGGCAGCATTAAGAACTGAGAAACTATTGCAGTTTTATTTTGGGAATGTTCCCTTGTCTTAAAAACTCACTTGAACGTGGAATAAAAGCTGTCTTGCTAGTGGTAGGTTTTCTGACATCTTTTGTATCACATGTAGAACAATAAAGCCTGAAAAAATGAAAATATTACTAAAATATAATAATATAGTTATTTTAATCCAAAACCTAAATGATGAATAATTGAGAGCAAAATATGCAGAAATGACAAGATTCATTTATAGATTTGGTGTAGTCACACCTTATTTTGATTGCAGGACCAAAGAATGTTGTTGAAAACTTGTATTGTATCCCTATCATTTTTTCTTGAAATGTTTTCAGTAATTTTGAAGTATGCCAGAAAGATCTTTTCTTAATATTTTTCTTTTGTTTTAGTCATAGGTAGGAGATTTACCTGGTGGTGCTCGGAACCTTAAAACAATTTTTTTTTAAATAAAAGGAACATGTTCATGTTTTATTTAAATAATTGTATTTTTAAAAAGTACAGTGTTATTTTGATAAAATTAATTTTTATTTTGATTTCTTAAAAATGGATTGTTAAATGTTTTCCATTTAATTTTTTTAGTAATTTTTTTAAAATGGGAAGTCCATCAACTGTATTTTTTTCATCCCTATAAACTTACATTCACTATATGTTTTAACAAAAAAGGGCTATAGTCAATGTGGTTTTCTATAACATTTTCTTCTAATTTTCAAATCTTAAGCATTGATTTAGCTATGTCAAAATAAAGCACTACTCCAAATTTCTCCATTTTATGTCTTTTCGGTAAGATTAATTGAGAAGCAGTCCTATTCCAGGTTCATCCTATTTTTCTATATCATCTTGATTCAGTCTCTTTCAACATTTGCTCATTTATGTCAATTTCGAGGACTCTTTTCTGTTTTGGTTTTTGTTTTACCAGGCACATCCCATTTTCCTGCTACAACCAAGCCCAGACATTGCTTTAAAGATATGATAAGAGGAAGTTGTGCACCAAATTTGGTGGTCCTAGCTCTTACTGTTTAAGAGGAGTTCTCGATCAGACAAACAAACTCTCTAAAATATATGAGGGTATGTCTGCACTAGCCCCCTAGTTTGAACGAGGGTGGCTAATCTAGGCATTCGAACTTGCAAATGAAGCCTGGGATTTAAATATCCTGAGCTTCATTTGCATGTTCCCAGGCGGGCGCAATTTTTAAATCCCCTTAGTTCGAACTGACTGCCCGCGGCTACACGCGGCAGTCAGAAGTTAATCTGAACTAGTCCTTAGTTCGGATTAACTGTTACACCTCATTGCAGGAGGAGTAACAGTTAACCCAAACAAAAGACTTAGTTCAGATTAATTTCTGACTGCTGCGTGTAGCCGCGGGCAGTCAGTTCGAACTAAGGGGATTTTAAAATGGCGCCCGCCCAGGAACATGCAAATGAAGCTCGGGATATTTAAATCCCAGACTTCATTTGCAAGTTCGAATGCCTACATTAGCCACCCTAGTTCGAACTAGGGGGCTAGTGTAGACATACCCTGAGAGATGAGCTATGTATATTTGTAAATAGCTATAAAATAGCAATGGACTGAAAAATATTTGGAGCCCTAACATTCAAATGTTTTGCCTGTCAGGTTGTGGGAAAGAAACCCTCTAATTTCTCCTGCATGTGGCAGAGGAGGCAAAATTCCTGGCCACCCAGAAGTATTCCCAAGAAACATTTTCACTTGCAACAATAACAGAACAATTCAGAATTTCAAAATCTGATTACAAAGGAAGACAGTTGAACCGAAATTAATTTCCAAAACCTATACAATCAACATAAGGTTGAATAAGGATCTTAACTGGTTACGATACTGCAAGGGCAATGTCCACTCTCTTGATATACACATTTCCAGAACAACTGCTGTTAATGAATCACTTCCATTCTGACTTGTTTACAGCCAGGCTTTAAGATACAACCGGATTTGCTCCAATCCCACGGACAGAGAGAAACATCTACAGGAATCTATATCAAGCATTCTTAAAACTAAAATACCCGCCCGGAGAAGTGAAAAAATAGATTGAGAGAGCCAGACGAATACCAGACATTAGCTTCTTCAAGATAGGCCCTACAAAGAAAACAATAGAACTCCACTTGTTATCACCAGCAGCCCACAATTTAAACCCCTCCAACGCATTATAAATAATCTACAACTTATCCTGGAAAATGATCTCTCACTCTCACAGGCCTTGGGAGACAGGCCAATCTTCACCTTCAGACAACTCCCTAATCTCAAACAAATTCTTTCCAGTAACCATGCAACATGTCTCCATCATGCTCATCCAGGAATCCACCCCTGCAATCAGCTCCAGTGCCAACTGTGTCTACACATCTATACAAGTGACATCATCATAGAACCTAACCACATAAACCACTTCAGAGGCTCATATAATTGCACATCCACCAATGTGATCTGTGCCATCAAGTGCCAGCAATGCCCCACTGCCATGTATATTGGCTAATCTTGATGGTCTCGATGACAACGGATTAATGGACATAAATCAGATATTCAAAAAGGTAACACACAGAAACCTCATTAATGGATCTTAATGTTTCCAAATTATTACAACCCAAATTTAAAAACCAGCTTGAAATGAAAGCTGCAGAGCTTAATTTCATTTACAAGTTTGATACCTACAATCCAGGTTTAAACAAAGACCTTAACTGGAGTACCTGCTACATTCCACATCCTAATGACATAAAAAGCCAAACAACAGGTACTTAAAGAGTACTTAGAACCCTCGCTATCAGCTTCATTTAGTATGAAAACTGACTATTCTTTTCTCATTTTTTTTCCTTTCCTTTCCTTTTCCTCCTCTCCCCATCCCCTCTCTGCTATTTATTTGGAATTTGGACCCCTTAAACTCCATTCATCTGAAGAAGGAAGTGGGTTGTGCCCATGAAAGCTCATGATACCATCTACATTTTTTGTTAGTCTCTAAGGGTACGTCTAAACTACGTGGGTTTTTTCGGAAGATGATATGCAAATTCCACGCATAAACCTTTTTTTTTAGGAAAAGTGGGTTTTTCGAAAAAGGGCTTTTTCCTGAAAAAAAAAAAACGCATCCAGTCTACTTTCACTTTGGAAAGACCCACTTTCGAAAAAGCAATCAGAAGAAGATATGCAAATTCCACAGGAAATTCCTCTTTCGGAAAAAAACACGTATTTTAGATATACCCTAAGGTGCTGCAGGACTATTAATTGTTTTTTTTAATGTTTTTTCTATTACAGACTAACATGGCTATGTCTCTGAAATTTCATTTATACAAGTACCCTCTATCTTTTGTTGTCCTTATATATACCCATGCCTCTGTAAACTGTACTCTGGTATGCCTGCCTGAAAGCCTTTACCCTAATAAATCTGTTTGTCTCTAAGGTGTCACAGGACTCCTCATTGTTTCAATATTTAATATAATTAATGTTAGTAGTTACTTGGATGAGCAAAACCCAAATCTTGGCTTTGATTTGCACTATAACTGAAATATTCCAGATACATTTTATCTCATTTATCTTCAGAGAATTCACATATTCAAAGCATGGGAAGGCTTAAAGGTGACAAAGCTAATGTATGAGCAGTACAGTATATGTGGAAAATGAGGAACTGTTTAAATGTGTAGCTTTTGGATTATAATTATTGAACTTTTCTCTCTCTCAAGTTTTCCCCCTTTAAAACATTAAAGTTAAACCTATATTGAATTATTACAGGAATATTTTTTCATGTTTTGATCAATAAGTTTTACTCCAGTTTGATGTTGGTATAATTCAGTTCAAATCAAAGTGGTGTAATGCTGTGGCAAATCAGGTGCATTATGTATAATTAGATTAAAACTGTACTGAAGCAGTACATTTAATAATACAGATGTGTGTGTACACACATATACACACACACTACTATCCTTTTCTCCATTCAGTGAGAGTTGGTGAGTCTAAAGTATTTCTTACTGTGGAGGCCAAACTGCCTTTAAATATTGGTTAAATATTAACTTTACTTTAAAAAAACCCATGATTTTTCTAAACAAAACAATTGAAAATCAGAAAAAATAAGCACTACAGACTTTTTACAGTAAGATAGTTTAATGGCATGAAAATTGTTCATGTAGTCATTTAACATATTATTTTTAGATTTTCAGTATGCCTGTATGGAACTTTGCACAGGTCAAAATGAAAAATCCTTTCATGAAGGATCATCTGTTTTACTGCTATATTTGATGGAGAAGTTCATGTTGATGGCAACTCTGAAAAGTATTGCAAATAGAAGCTCTAAAAGATAATGTAAAAGCAAATACACTTTCTCCAGTCTGTAACTTACCTGTTTTCCTCTTTCTCCAGCAAACTGCGATACGTTGCTATCTCCTGCTCCAGTCTCATCTTAGTGTTCAGTAATACTTCATGCTCTTGAAGCTGTTTCTCGATCCCTCTCCTCACTTGCTGTAATTCCATCTCTAAACCTTCAATTTTAGCTTTTAAATTCTGCAGTTGTGTCTGGTACTCCTGCTCTGTGGCATGCAGACAACTTTCCAAACCTCTTTCCTGGCAAATAAATCCAATATTAAAGCTCAAAAAAGTAGTTCTAAAAGTTCGGTTCCACATAGTGTTTAGTAATAATTCAGCATTGTAAAATTTTTAAATTTATTTTTCAATTTATCTGCTAAATAATCTTAGGAACTATAATAGTAACTCAGCTTTTAGAAGACCTTTAATACGAAACTTTAAACTTGTAGATTTTTGCATTTAATTTTCTAGTAACATCTGTAATCACATAAACTCAATTAGATGATCACACATAAATATTGCAATCTTATATGATTAAATCAATTAGTTTTGATCAGAAATTTTACTCAGCTGTCCAGAATGATGTTTTCTAATAGTTACAGAAATTCATAGTGTTGCAAAGTCATCATCCTCAAGCTACAACCCTACCTGCAATAGGGAAATTGACTAATATTTCTAATCTGTTATCACAGTGGCGACTGGTGACAGGGAAGAAAGGGGGGGCACTGGCCCCACTTCTCCCCATCCCTTGCTCTGCCTCCACCACATGTTTGCTCCTCCCCTCCCCATCTCTTCCCAGCAGTCCCTGGAGTGGCGCGGCTGGGAAGTGTTGTGGTGTGGGCTGAAGCCAGCTGGCTTGCACCTTCTCCACCTGCCACTGGTGGTGAATGTGTGTGTGTGTGTGGGGGGGGAGCAACATGGTCTCCTGCTGCTGGTGCTAGCCCTCCTGCCAGCGGCTAGCCAGTCCCTCCCACCTTCCAACTGTATGTGGCCCTGAGTGGATTTTTCTGAAAGATTGTTAAAAACAGGGCCAGTCTTAAGTCTTGTTGTCACTAACTTCTATCTATTAAAAAAAAAAGTTTCCTGTGGGATGACAGAGTATGTCATCACGTCATTCTGGGTATGTCTAGACATACCGAAATTGCTAATGAAGCGGGGATTTAAATATTGCATGAGGCATAATGGATCGGTTGGAAAAAGCTTTCCTTGCCAACCGATCCCTGTCTAGACTGCTGCTTTTTGCCGGCAAAGTGCTGCGGTGGCAAAAAGTGGCGGCCATTTTTATTCTAATGAAGTGTGAGAAATTTAAATCCTTGCTTCATTAGCAATTTTGGTATGTCTAATTTACATCCCTCTGGCAACTAAGGGATGTAGTCTAGACATACCCTCTGTGTCCTGCCTGCCTCCTCCCTCCCCACTCTTCTATCCCTTCTCCACGGTGCTTGGCAGGTGGGTACCACATGGCTTCCCTCCTTCCCCTACCCCGGTGCTCCAGGGGGAGCTGGGCCTGCTGCTCCTTGGCCTGGCCCAACCCCCCAGTGGCTGGAGGAAGAGAGCTGGGCCTGCCACGCCGTGGCCTTGGCCCAGCCTGACCCCCAGGCGAGTCCCCCTTTCCTTCCTTAAAATCTCTGGAGTCATGGCATGCCACATTCGCCACGATTTAAAAATTGTCAGGTTTGTTTTAAGCACATGCCAAAAAGTGACCCTCACTCCTGCCTGACATGCCTGGGAGAGGGCCATCAAAGAAATCATTGCTGCAGAGAACAGTGGCTCAAAGTGCTTTGTATGGAGGTGGCTCTGCGTCTGGAAGACCCGGCGCCAACCATGTCCTTATCAGTGTAGAGCACCCTGTTGCCATCTTCCTCTTTGAGGCTGAAGAAGAGCTCCTTTTGGCACCACCATGGGTCAGCAAGAGAAGCATCTGAAAGGCACCAATTGCATTCACCAGTGTTTCAGAAGCAAAAAAAAGCCCGAAGGCCGGACTTCATTGAAGTCCACTGTGGTGTATGAAGGCACGGACTCCGGCCGGTGCAAGCACGAAATTATTTTATTGCAAGATCACAACTACCTTTATACTTTTAAAAGTTTACAAACTGCTTTTTCCCAGTTCCAAACATAGCACTCTTGAAGGTTATTGACTCAGGCAGATGTTGTTATTGTTGGCTCAGGACTTTTGCTTGGTTTCGTCCTTGGGACGCTCTGTTATGTGGCCAAAGCACTATGCTTGCTGATTCTCTACAGTCCACAACTGTGTGATGCCAAGACGGCCACTCTTTCTATGAAACGTAGTTTAGTCCAAAGCCATAGAACTCCCCCAGACCGCGGGGGTTCAAACCCTGTCACTCTTTTCAACACCAGAAGCATTTGATATGGAAACAAAATTGATGCACCTTGCAGTGCTATTCTACTCCTCCAAGGAGAGAAGTCCCCGGCAGTCATGACATATAGAGGGAAGCTGGCATTGGTATGTAGGTATTCCCGCTCACAAAGCCGATAAACATTGTCTCGACCTGATAGACAGCCCAGCCACTCACTTAGCTCCCGCTAGTAGTGCCTAGAAGCTTGGCTTCTCTCTGGTCCGTGTTATTAGAGACTTCAGGATTAGAATTGGAGTCATACCGATCCAGAAGGAGCTCAAGTGAAAGGCCTCAATCCAGGCACAAATATCGTTAGTTGCAGGTGCTGTGGCCTTCTCAGTGGCAGAATGTGCCACAGGGGCCCTTCTGGACCCTCTGAACATTCCATCAAGCCCAGGATGGGTTCCCAGGACATCGCTTGCCACTGTCTTCCATAATGTCAGCCACATTTGTCCCTCCCTCTATGGCACTATGTCTTCTGGCCATGGCACACATATCAACACCAATGGTAAGATGGCACTGTGTCTGGTATAGACCCCGATCTCTGTTCTAACACTGACCATGAGTCCAGAGCTGGCAGCTTCCTTAGCTCTGTTGCCTTGACCTGGGCCCACAAGTCGTGTCACCAACATCAATGGTGCTGTCATCAGCAGTCTCTTCACCACTCCACAAGCCAGCATAGGTGCCAGTGACATCCCAGGCATCAAGACCGGCATTGATATCTGCATCGTTGGCACCAAAAGTTCTCCCTTAGGCACTGAACTATTTCCAAGATCCTTGGGACTGACAAGATGTATTGGGTCCAGATGGACAGAAACAAGTCCCAGTCCTAGTGCCCTCCTTGTTGTTGTCTCCTGACGCGGCATTAGTGGGCACTGCAGTGGCCCAAACTCTTGAGGACATAAGGGTCCTACAACTACTTTTTCAGGGTCACTCAGGGTTTGGGTATCAAGGCAGAGTTAATGACAGAAGAGTCAGGTCCACTGATGGACATTTTGATCCCTTCTGGTTCCTTCCCAGATTGCCCTACTGCTTATTAAAACCATTAGTGAAAATGATAAGACCTTCTGACAGACTCCAGCCTCAATTACGCTGACTGCTAAGCTCAATGATAAGTGATATTTTGTGCCCCACAAGGGGTATCTATATCCAGCCTGCTCCAGACTCACTTGTCGTGTATGCAATGAACCAGTGGGAGCGACAATGATTTCAGGGACCTTGCCCCAAGAATAGGGAGCCTAAGAGGTTTGACCTCTTTGGGAAAAAGGTGTACTCAATGGAAGGTTTACAGCTGCATATTGCTAACCAGCAGGCTGTGATTAGCAGGTATTCCTACAACACTTCAGCATCTCTGGCCAAATTCACAGAGTTACTCCCTTACGATTCTTGGACAGAATTCTCTTCTCTTATTGAGAAAGAGAAAATAATTTCAAAGGCCTCTTTAAAGGGTGCATTAGACAGTGTTGATGCTGCAGTGAGAGTCAGGGCTATAGGGATGGCCATGAGGAGGGCCTCCTGGCTCCAAGATTCAAGTCTGCCATATGAAGTACAACAGACAATTCAGGACTTCCCTTTTGAGGGTACCACCCTGTTTTCTAGGGAGAAAACTCAGATAAAAGGATGTATAGCCTCATGGATTCTAGGACCACCCTCAAGTCTTTGGGTCTCGATAGCCCCATAACTCAGCACAGACATTTTAGTCCTCAGCCTCCTCAATGGTTCTTTCCACAGAACCAGCAGGACAATGGCCGACGAAGGAACAGGAGTGCTAGAAAGAGGGCTCACCGGTCCTCTGGCCAGGACCTAAACAGGCCTTTTGAAGGCACGGTTGAGGACAGCATAACAGAATCAAATCTGGATCCAACCCGCCTTACTTTCGCTTTCCAACTATCCCCTTTTCCACTAGGCTTGGGCCTGTATCACATCAGACCAGTGGATCCTCCGCATAGTGGAAAGGGGATACTTGATCTAGTTCTTGTTCCTGCCTCTCTTCCAACACCCTTCTCTGACCTCATCAGGGACGCTTCTCTTGAGCAACTCCTGATTTAGGAGGTGCATTCGCTCCTATCCCTAGGAGCAGGGGAGAAGGTTCCTCAAGAGCACCAGAATAAGGTGTTTTATTCTCAGTATTTCCTAATACCAAAGACCAAGGGGCAGTGGTCATGGAGTGTCTGCGCAGACACTGTGTACAAGTGTTTTCTTACCTCTACAATTGGCCATTCCAGGGAATAGGCATATCTCGGGTTTATCAGATAAATATTCAACAAAGTACATTCCATCAGGGCACAAGATTTCTTTCACTGTCTTTCTGGCCCAGGTTCCCACTCACAAAATTTGTAGAGCTGCTACGTGGTCATTGATTCATATCTTCACTGCACATTATACGAATACTTGGGAACCCAGGGATGATGCCTCCTTTGGATGAGTGGTGTTACAATCAGTAGTTGGCTCCTACCCCATCTCTTAACCTTCTAACTGGAATCAGCTAACTGGAATACACATGAACAAGCACTTGGAGAAGAAAAAACAGTTATGTACCTTCTCATAACTGTTGTTCTTTGAGATGTGTTGTTCATGTCTATTCTAAGACCTTCCTTTCTTCCCTTCTGTCTGAGTACCCATAAGAAGTAACTGAGGAAGGGACAGGTCTGCAGGGTGCTACGTAGTACACCATGGAGATGTGCCTCCAGGGGATGCCCCGACTGATCTATGTGTGATGCTATGAAAAAATATTCCGGCTACCACATGCACATGTGCACACTCAGACCGAATTGGAATAAACATGAACAACACATCTCTAAGAACAACAGTTATGAGAAGGTACATAACTGTTCTATATTGCATATCAGAAGAAGAAATGGGTTATTTTTTCAGGGAGTTGATAATATCAATTTTTGACCATGCTTACCACAGCCTGAAGAGATTCAATTTCAATTTGCATATGATGCCATTGTCGCCTGGCTTCACTGAGCTCTGCTCTGGCAGTCTTTAAGGCTTTTTTATCTTTGTCCATTCTTTCACTAGTAGCTTCTTCTATCTATAGAAAATATAAACAAGGTCTCTGCATTACACATATAAATATTTTAAAAGAATGAAGATAAAATAAATGCTGTTATTTGAAAAAAAACTTCTACTCTCTTAAAATAGGATATTTAGGTTAATTTTTTGTGGGAACTGAATACATTTATTCAAGGTTGTAACGAAAAGCATATTGTAAACTTTGAGAAACCTCTTGTATTACAACCACTACTGGGAAATACTTTGCTCCATCTTTAATAACTGCTGCACTTCTTCAAAAGAGACTCAAGAAAACAGATTCATTTTTGTCTCTAAACATAAATACAGAAAAAGACACAACTTGGACATATACTGTACAAAATCATCAGCTGATTAACAGTATCAGGGCCAGATATCTTGGCATGGATTGAACAATCATATACAGTAAAACTCCAGTAGTCTGGCACCCAATAGTCCGGCACTCCTGATAGTCCAGCATCAAAATGGCAAGAGCCTAGTGAGTGAGCTTCGGCAAAAAATGAGTCACGAAGTAGCAGCAGCAGCAGCTGAACTGAGCAAAAAGGGTAAAGAAGGCTTAAAAAAACTAAAACATTACAGTATACTGTATACAGTATGTACAATAAAAAGGGTTAAGAACACTTTATATACAGTATATAATGTATACAGTATATATATATATATATAACACCATCTTATAGTACCTCCTGATAGTCCGGCATATCTGATAATCCGGCACCACCTAGGTCCCATAGGTTCCGGATTATCGGAAGTCTACTGTAGTAGAGAAAGAATGAAGAACTCATTGAAATACTTTATTAATCATTTTAAGATTTGTATTATCTTAGGTGCAGAAAAGTATGGGATAGGGTTGGTCAGGCTAACCTGTTAGAGAACCTGAAACAGATGTTTAGAGCACTCTTCCCCTGCACCTTATAACACTTGTTGTTGTAATGCTGGCCCAGTGGTGTCTTACTAACTGTATTGTGACCAAATCCAGCCATGTATGAAATCAGTGAAGTTGCGATGCTTATTCCAGATCTTATTCTGCCACTAAATATTAGATATGTTACATAAATTAGATAGTGAAGCACCTTGACAGTAACTGAAGTTATGGGGTATATTTAATTACTTTAAAATGGCCATGTCAGGTCAATTTCTTCCATTCACTCTAGTAGGAATAATGCTGAGTACTTACAGAGTGTTTAATGATAATTACTGTTTCTTTTACATTTGTGTTTTGCCTACAAGCGTTGGTGACATCACAAGCACCTGAAACAGAATATTTTCTGCTTTATCACAGGTTCTTGTGACATCAGCTCAGACCCAGATTTCAGTGTGGATGTCTTGGCATTTGATGATTGTAGCCAAATTTGTCACATTATTTTAACATGTTATTATGAAGAGATGTATGGTGTGTTTATGTTTGATAGTGTATTTATAACCTTTAAAATATGACAGAACAAATAATATAAACATTGCAGACAAGTATGGTATAGTTTTATAAAAACAATAGAAAATCCTTCCCTAGAAGGTCAAATTTCCATAACATATGTGCTCAAAATTATAAATCCTCTTTATAAATGGCTTCTTTATGGCATCTCTACATAATATTCAAGATGTTTCCTTCCTGAGGGATAACTAAATGAGGAGAGAGTGTATGTCATCATGTTTTTTTTTAGTCACAATAATATAACTAGCTTTTATGTACAGACAAACATCCAGATTCATTACAGAGCATTCCTTTATGGTGAGTTTCATAACCTTAACATAGAATATTTTCTTAGTTTCTAGGTCTAGTCATATTGCAGTAAAATCTAAATCCCTTATCCAGAAATACACTGCATTGAAAAGGAAATATTGTACCTCAAAAAGGTTGAGGATGAATTGGTAGACATAGATTGTCTCCTTATTCTCATTACCTGGGTTCTTGTTGAGAGGATGGTTTCTATCTGATTTCTGGTGATGAGCATTTCATAGTTTGCCCTGATCTCATTGAGGAGCTGGGACAGTTCCATTCTGCTCCCATCCTCCACCTTGACTAACGGAACCTTATTAATAGAATGAGCCAGCTGCTGCAGAGCATACACTGCCTGCAGTGAAAGCAGAGAGTAGGAGAGACAGCACAGCAGAATTTTAAAGATGCAGAGCTCTTTTTTGTAGGAACATTGAAAAATCATCTGCTTTTAGTTGGCTTTAAAGATTAGGTTTAAAAATGCAAATATCTCTCAATTCTACTGTGGTTAAAAAGGTAAGACCCAGATAATGTCATGGAATGAATACAAGTGGTGTCTTCATGTGTTTATTATATTCTTAAGCCACTTACCCAAGAAGCTAGAGTCTGAAAGATATAATATTAATAATAAGAGCAAAATTATAGCTGTTCAATGCAAATTTGAAAGATCTGAGATGGGGCACATGTGGCAATCATAATTTGGTTGGCTGTATTCTTGGAATGCGAAGGAGGGAAGTAAGCCTACATTAACAACAGTCAGAATGTCTGGTGTCCTACTAGGTGAGCAACAAAATGGCAGATGAATGGCAGCGCTCACTGGAAAACATAATCCCAGTTGGATATACAAAATTATGTGGCCAAAATTAGCTGTTACTACTCGAAAGAGATTTTGGAGTCATTCTGGATAGTTCTCTGCAACCATCTGCTCAATATGTAGTTGCAGTAAAAAAAAACCAGTGTTAGAAACCATTAGAAATGGGATAGATAATTTGATAGTAAATGTCATAATGTCATTATATAAATCCATTAGAAGAGTTACCTGGTGTTGCCTGGGCCCATCCTGGGATGGGGGGCTGTGCCAGTCTCCTGCTGTGCTTGCTGCCCCCCGGGGTAACTCTCCAGTATTGCTGTCGTCTGCTCAGCCCCCTCTCTTTGCCTGTTATGGGAAATTGTCCCATTTTCCTGATGGAACCAAACACTGGCCTTGAGTTAAGTTAGGATAAGAGGAAGCTCATGCCAAATTTGGTGGTCTCAGCTCTTACTGATTAGGAGGAGTTCATGAACAAATGGACTCACAGACGGGTGGTGGGACACTCAGACAAACAAAGCATGTGTGGATTACATTGTTTTTTTGAAAAAACTTCACCTACGTCCACACAGCAATCTCATTCTTTTGAAATGAAATCGAAAGATCGCAGCTCTTCTGTCAAAATGGGTAAACCTCAAATTACAAGGAAGAACGCCTTTTTTGAAAGAGCTCTTTTGAAAAAAGGTGTGTGTGGACGTGGGGGAGGCAGTTCTTTCAAAAAAAGAGGCCTCCAGGAAAAATCCCAGGTGCCTACACTAATCATAACTCTGTAGTTCCTGTCTCCAGCCCGTGTCGTAAAGCCGCAGGCACCCAGGACAAGCCTTGTGGCATGAAGCCGGCCTCACAGCAGAACTCTGACCATGCGGCTCTCCCTGCCACACCAGTCAGAAGCCATGTGCGAGCCACATGGCCCCCCGACATCCCATAGCCCTTCCAGGGAGCCATCCCAGGACCCACTCAGGGGCACTAAATGCTGGGCTCCATCCTGGTCAGGGGCTGAGGTCCAGACAACGTGGGAGCTATGGTCTGAGGAGGAGTCCCTGCAGGCTTGCCAGTCACGCCGCAGGAATGTGGACATTGGCCGAAGCTCTGGCCAAGAGAGGTCACCTCTCCCACACCCTGGAGCAAAGTCCAGGAGTTGCAGCAGGGTTATGCCAGGGTTCATGAGCGCAGCTCTAGCTCCGGGGCAGCGCCACACTACTGCCCCTATTATGAGGAGCTGCATAGAATCCTGAGGGGTGGAGAACCCCTGTCTCCACAGGTGCTTGTGGAATTGGGGATGGAGGCATCCGTTCAGAGCTGGCTGGAGTTCCAGGAGGAGGACAACCTTGCTGACCAGCAGCTGCAGGAGGAGGAGGAGCAGAGGTGGAAGCACACGGGATGGGATGCGTTCATCATTCGTTATGCTCAGCCTGGACAGAGTGCAGCTGGCCGTGCATGTGCAAGCATGTGAAGTGGCAGTGTGCAACACATGGTGTCAGGAGCCAGTCCCTGAGCACACACAGGCTGTGTCTACACTGGCATGAATTTCCGGAAATGCTTAAAACAGAATAGTTTTCGTTATAAGTATTTCCGGAAAAGAACGTCTACATTGGCCACAGATGCTTTTCTGGAAAAGCCCTTTTTCCAGAAAAGCATCTGTGGCCAATGTAGACGCGCTTTTCCAGAAAAGAGCCCCGATCGTCATTTTCGCGATCGGGGCTTTTTTCCGGAAAAGACTACTGGGCTGTCTACACTGGCCCTTTTCCGGAACAGTGTTCCGGAATAAGGACTTATGCCCGAGCGGGAGCAGCATAGCTTTTCCGGAATAGCGGCTGATTTTGTACAGT